GGATGGATGCCAGGGACTACGTCACTGTGGGACATGTTGGTGAATAAGAAGTTTGTACAGGTTTAATGTAGAACTTTCAGAACTCAGCAGTCAGTGTTGTTCTGTTTATAGTGTTTGGGCTGACAGGAGTGTTACCAGATGCACGTAAACACAGACATAAGTGTTTGATTATTTTTTGACGTTCATTCTTAAAAAATGAACTCGAGAAGTTATTCCTTTAGAAATTGTAGTCATCCTAATTTCTGTTTCACAGTTATTAAGCTCCGTATCTTTAGCTGGTGTGTGATTTGGCTTTTTTATCTGTGCATATTTCTAAAGTTAACCCTCTCACTTCTCAGGCTGCAGCAGTGAGTCAGTCCCCACAGACACCAGTGCTCAAATGTCCGGCTTCACAGCGGTGGGTATACTTCACACAACTTAACTACTGTTTTGTTGTTCACCTATTTAAGCTTTAGACGGGGAAGGTTTTTAATGCATTTACCTGACAAAAAATTTGGCTGGTTAATGATTAATTGTGTCTGTGATGTGAGTCTCACTCTGAGTGAGAGTCACGGAGCTGCTCAAACCTGCACTTCATTCATGAGAGCAGCACAGTCTGACAATTCATGTCAATAAGACCTGTGTGTTACCTCTGTGGGGGGGGTGAAGTGGATAGTGGCTGACCTGCGGTCTGTCTTGTTGATGAGCTCCGACACCTGCTGCAGGTACTCTTTGGCATACAGGACGACAGGTTCGGTGTCGTTTAGCTCCAGAGGAGACAGAGAGGACGACAGGTAGTCCAACCAGTCGATGGCTGGAGCCAGCAGCTGGAAAGGCAGACACATCGGGACACATCACAATAAAACTGACCCCAGCAATGAACCAATCAGCGGGGAAAATGAGACAGAGGAGCATCTGAAGAAGGACAAGGACGCAGGTGAAGCCAGTCAGGAGGATAACAGTGTTGGGAAAAGAACAAAGGAGGGAAGTAAAACAGAGAATCCCAAAGGAGACGCTAACGTCCAGAAAGAATAAAAAAACATAACCACGAAGAGCGAGCAGAGACATCAGAGTGTTTAAAGAGTCTGACACTGCAGACCAGCAGGCACATCTGCATTCACACGTATGTACACGTGTGTGTTTGCATGCACACGGTGTAGATACACTGTCAGTTTGCGCTGCATATAAAGGCCTTACACTCGAGCCCTGTGTGTTTGCCGGGGTTAGAGACCAGGTATAACCCAAGCTACCACCCCAAACACCCCAAACAATACCATTTCGATTTACAACTTACTACTTAGTCGCAAAAATAAAATCAAAATAATTAGCAAATATTTTAAATTTGCGCTATGAAAAACAGGCAAATTTTGCACAAATAATTTGGAGTTACGTTCCACAAAAGTGGCTCTGACTTCATGCGCATCTCAAAGTTAGCAGCTCCTGTTTGTCTGTGAGAAAGAGCAGTGGGGCTTTTAACAGGGCTGCCTGCCTGTCAGCAGTAATCCTCAGTGTGGGAGCAGACTGCACCACCCGGGGGGGAGATGCAGAGATGGAAAGCTAATCCCTGCTGTCTGCTTTGCTTCAGCTTCAAACAGTCAGAAAGTCAAAAACTGAAGTGTGGAGACTCTGCGGGGAGGAAACACACCACAGCGAATGAGCGGAGGCTTTTTTAAGACAATGGCACAGAAAGCAGCAGCTCACAGCTTTGACATGTTTTGCTCTCCGATCAGCAAAGCCCACGTAAAGTTTCCACAGCAGAGGGCCCTAAACAACAGGACTTCACCACAGGGTTGTGTACAGCGCAGCAGCGGTCCTCACAGCAACAGGTCCAGGGTCTGAATCCACCAGCCGGCTGAGGTCATTGGGTTTGCCCGTCCTGTGTGAGGCTACGTGACATTCCCGCACTGGCCGTAGGCGTGGACACCAACGGGTTTCTGCGTCTGCGTTACTGTGCGACGGGCTGAGGACGGGGCCAGGTGTGCCCCGCCTTTCACCCTGCTACAGCAGAGCAGTGGGCCTCTAGACCCCCACAATACTGCAATGCATAGGTGGAACACGGATGCATCTCTGACATAACAGATCACAAATCAGCAGTTTCACCTTCCTTCCTGTGTTACCTACACGCAGCAGCCAGGCCTGTGCACACTCAGTGAGTGCACAGAGTCTGTGAAACACGGAGGAGGCTCAGTCGTGGTTTGGGCTGCGTGTCAGTCGGTGGTGTTGGAGATCTTTGCTAAAAACAATGACTTATGAACTCAGAAAAGTGCCATCACGAATACAGGAAAGCTTCTGATTGGCTGCAGTTTCATTTCTATGGGTCAGGGATGGGCCTGCCCAGAGCCGGACCTCAGCATCACTGAAGCAGTGTGGGCTCATCCTGACAGGGAACAGACGGCAGAAACATCCAAAGAAGAAACCTGGAGAACTGAAGATCGTCACAGAGAGCTGCTCACACCAAACGTTCAATTTCAGATCATTAGAAATGCACAAACTTTGTCTCATGTGCTATATTTCATGTTTCAGTCTGCCTGTTTACATTAACTCAAGACTTTTGCACAGTACTGTACAGCCTGCAGAGTTTGTTCTTTCGTTCTGCAGGAAATATATCAGCTTCTCATTTTCACTTCATTTCACACTGTGAAACAGAACTATTAAAAAATGTGCAAAAATATAAATTTAGATGCTTCAATAAGCAAAATCAAAGCATCTGAAACAATAAATGAAAGAATTAAAATGAATGTGGTAAAAAACAGAAAAGAGACGAAGAGGAGGAAGAGTCCAGACTGCTGAGGTCTATCTTCACATCAACCATGTTTATATAATAACCTGTTATCTAACCTCCCTCCCTCTCTCAGAGGTGCAGTCACATAGCAACGACTCATGGCAACGGTCGCCATGGGGACCCCCGAAGCATCTGCAGCCCTGGAGGACAGAGAGCTGCAGCAGAGAGGCTGCGCCGCCACGACATCAGAACCACAGCGCCAACAATGAAACACATCTGCTGTATTACTGTGGCCACCGCGAAGATGGCAGGAGGGCGCGTCAGAGGAACGCGAGGAGAAAACACAAACGCACGGTCTGAGCGCTGCAGAACAAACGCTGTAATCAGATCTGACCTCAGGAAATGAACCCAAACCCAGTTAGCAGCAGGAAAGAGGACGCACACAAGCGTCACGCTGATAAAGACCGATGAACATCGGCCGTCCGTTTGTCTCCATCACCCCTGACAGCCCTGACCTCTGACCTTTTGTCCAACTGCTTTCATGTTGATTCTGTTAGAGTCAGGTTGCGTCTGCTCGACCCGTCTCTGAAGCTCTTTCTAAACCTGTCGGTGACTTTTTGAATATTTCCAGCAAACATTTTGCTGACAGTGAATTCTGCACACGTGACGCCGTTTCACAACATGACAGCCAATCAAACACAAAGTGAAGAACCGAAGCCTCCGTTCACATCTGCGACTCTACGTAGACCTCGCGACTCAAACGACGACACAGAAACGTGACGAGCCAGATAGACACAGGTAAAGGTTCACTTCCTGTCCAACCTCAGAGGAAACAACCTAGACTGTGGGAGGAGAGGCTCTGAACCCTCACGTCTTTCAGATGTTGGCCAAACATCACCAGGTTCCTTCAGTAACAGAGGGCCGTGATGTAACCAGACACAGAAACCAATCAGGACGCCAGCCTCACCTGCAGCTCCGCGATGGTGACCTTGTGGTAGATCTTCTCTTCGTCTCGCCGCTGGTCCTGTGGGACGGTGATGTTGGCAAGCCCTGTCTCAAAGTCCATAATCTGCTGCATCTGAGCCTGAGTGGAGCTCCTCTCGCCCCCCAGCAGCATCCCCAGCTCCACCATGTAGTCCAGGTACGCCACCAACACCTGGAAGAAGTTATTCTATTTAAGCTTCAATAAAGTCAACATGTCACTGGAAGAGGTACACCGCTCCAGGTATTCTTACCTTCTCATTGGCTGTCTTGTTAAGGTAATAGTCCCTGGATGGCAGAAAGAGCCCTGATTGGTCCACCTGCAGAAGAGATCGACACGGTGACTCTGTGACAGCACAGAAGTCATTTGAAAGCTCCTCTTTCTGCTGTCGCAGACAAATACAAAAAGCAAACACATCTGCAGAAGCTTGAAGCATAAATATTCTAGTATGAAATAGTTTAAGTTAAAGAGGAAACATTTTACTGAGACAGACGTTCATTCAGTGGGTCGTCGCTGAACGTGTCACCAGCTGTTTCTGCTTCACCTGAATGACGTTGCTGTTGGAGTTTTTGGGATCGGCGCTGACTCCGACGCTGAAGAACGGCTGACCTCGGTACGGACCGGAGACCACCTTCAGAACATCCATGAAGTTGTCTTTGTCCCAGGGGCCCGTCATGTTCCAGCCTCCAATCTGCACACAGTTCACATGTTTACTGGAACAACAAACCAGAAACGTGGAAATCCACGGAGGCTAACAGAACACCGTCATCCAAAATCCTACTCCCTGTAAATATATTGATGGCAAAGTTCAACATGCTGTAGATGATAAAGTGAGGACCCTACAGCAAAGGAAACCCACCTATCAGCTGCTCCCTCTCTGAGCTGGACTCGGTGGGAAAAACAAATGAAAGCGTGTAAATAAAACTGACGTTATCACTTCTGTGTGTTTACAGACTGAATCCTCACCCTGTACGCTGATGATACTTTATTATTGATTTTGCTACATATAAATGGTTTCATTTTACTCCAATTAGGAAACATCCCACAGGAAGGAAGCACAGGATTACTTCAAAATAAAAGCTTAAAAGAAATGATTTTTTTAAAAACTGGAATAAAACCAACTAAAGATTTTAAACAAATATTACAAAGTTTAACACAAAGATGCTGCTACAGTCCTGTGATAAAGGGTCCAGGTGAAACTACTGTTGTATCTGTTGTACTATTGTAACTGATCAAACAGGAAGTTTGAAGTCGTAGCAGAGCGAGAACACGCTGATTGGGCCAACAATCATGTTTATAGTGTTCATTAAGTTTCCAAAAACACACGATGGAATAACACGTTTGCTTTTCACACACTTTGTGTTGAATCGTGCAGATTTCTGTGTTTTGCTTTGATTTGGGAAGCTTCTGAGCTACAG